ATTAGTAACCAGTTCACATGCTTTACTGGTCCTGCAGGTATATCTATTATTGTGATGTGCCATCAAGTCAGAATTTACTTACAGTGACCCCGTAAGAAAGACACAGTTGGATGGCCTTTGAACTCAACAGTGTGGGGCAACTGCAAACCAGTCTCCAGTATTCCATTTCTGGGTAGGGTTCTGAAGTCGCTTAGCGATCTTATAGATTACTAACACCTTTTGCTCCACATTATGAATTCCAACTTCTTCCAGTTTTAAAAAAATGCAAATGCAATAATGTACTGGAACAAACTGGTTGTCAGTGATAAAACACTTGATTTTAATATGCCAGGATTTGACTCCCAATGTTAGGTCTGTCCTTCACCCTTTGGTCTGCCCCCAAGCACCAGCAATGCTGAGAAAGAAGAAGAGGGGTTTTGACTCCTTTGCACATATTGAGGCAAATGTACATAGTTCTATGTATTCTCGAAGGCTTTCACGACTAGGATCCAATGGTTGTTGTGGGTTTTCCGGGCTGTTTGGCCATGTTCTTAAGGTTGTTCTTCCTAACGTTTCGCCAGTCTCTGTGGCCAGCATTTTCAGAGGACAGGAGTCAGAACTCTGTCCGTACTCTGTTCTGACTCCTGTCTTCTGAAGATGCCGGCCACAGAGACTGGCGAAACTTTAGGAAGAACAACCTTAAGATACCAAACAGCCTGAAAAACACACAACCATCGTACATAGTTCTGTTGCACCTTTTTCCACCACCGTTACCGGATTAACAATGCAAATGAGAAAACTCTTACAAATTAAGCTGTTTTATATTTGCTGGTATTGTACATGGTTGCATTATCCTTTTCATGATAATAAGCACAAATTCAATTTTCTGAATGGCCCCTTTTTAAGATGGGAGACTTAAGTTAGAGTTATTAAATCAGAGTTTCTGGTAATAGCACTACCAACTCTTTACTACAGCGGACGGAGGAGGGTTTTCACTTTGTATTCCTGCCATGTCTCAGATACCGCTGCCACAATTTAATTAAGTTTTTCATTTATCTGTGTCAACTTCTATCAGCATTGTATCATAGTTCATGGACTTGCCCTTCTTCATATTGCAGCAGTAAATTTAAACTTGGACAGTGTAGTTCTCGGTTCATTGGCTACATGATGGGGGTGTGTGTGGGAGAAGACTGCTAAGATAGGACAACAAATCCTGAAAATAATTTTGCTACCAGGAGAACACCATGATTGGTTTCTGAGACGGAAAGGAAAGCAGTAGGGTTGTATTCCTGAATGAGACTTGTTATCACCAGATCCCTTTCAGTCTTGTTTCCAGCGTACTTGGCAGGCCTAAAATGGTCACTGGCTGGATGACTGCCTCTGGGGGCTAGACTGAGCAAAGCCCATCTGTCTTTGTTCTGCTGCACCTCTGTAGCTTTGGATAGTGCTCTTCTATTTGCAAGATAGGGAGGAATTTTGATAATTTCTGGAGGGTAAGAAAAACTATGGGGATTCCCAGTATAGTGGCTGCCCTGAATGGCTGGCTTATCTCCCATCTAAAATCACTTCTGGGTTAGAACATCAAGGGAAAGGAATTTGTCTGGGGTTGCTTTCCTGGTGCTGGCCCTGGGATTTCTAATGTAGAAATACTGTAGGGAGAAGTGATGTATAAGGTGATATTTTAAAATACAGATCTAGATTGCGCCCGTTTGTCTGCATCAAGGCTTCCGCTCTGTGCAACATAGAGAGCAATTTATTGCAGGACAACAAAATGACTTAGCAAATGGTTTAAAATGGTTTTGATTATAATCACTGGCAACTTGTGGAGGCAGAGCAGAGGTAGAAAAGATGGAGAGGCATAGCACACACACACACACACACACACACAGAGAGAGAGAGAGAGAGAGAGTTGGAAATACTTGCAAAACACCATTGTGCCAAGAACCAGTGCAAAATATATATATATAATCATCTTAACTCTTATCGAACAGAATTTTTCACTATGCAGGGAGCTGATGATTACTGATACAGGGTAAAGCTAAAATCTTATGTTGTGCTTCAGAATCTCATCCTGCTATTCAACTTCACTTGACCAAATGATTCACTTAACGTGTTACATGAATTGTAGAAGGATGTTTTTGTTCCCAGTGCTGTTAAAGGTTGTATTTTGTTTGTTTAAAATTGTGTTATTGATACGGGGCAAAGAGTCCCTGATTTTGTCTTCCAGAAAGTTAAAAAAAGGCACGCCTTTGTGTTCCACTATGTTTTGAGTCACGGCAGTGTGATGTTGGGTAGTCTTATTCTGAACATGTTTTAGGGGTTTCAGTGACAAAAAGTTGCTTTATGACTTGTCTGCTTCACCTTTAACTGAGAATCTCTGCTCTGTTCCCCCACCCCCATATCAGCTGTTCCTGTCATGAATGGGAAATTTAAATTGTGATGACAGTGACCCAAATTTCCTTGCTTAGCTACATTTGGAGAACACAAATGGCTTAACTTTCTAGAGGCCATTTCTCTTAATTTAAGAAATCACCCTAGACATTCTCTGTTGCATATACTGTACAGTCATGAGACAATTAGTGATGTACATTGTGGGAACTTTCATTGCTGTTTCAGTTTGGTTTATTTCAGGAGGGGTGTTTGTACGTTTGTGCACTTCTCTATTCATTTACCGCAAAGGGATATCTCTTTCAGATGGCTTGAATTTGTTTTTCCAGTTTGGCAGGGGCGGCTGCAAGCATGAGGAATGGAGCAGGAGGGGGAACCATTGGTCTGGCAGAGCAGACGGTGGGGCATGGAGGTGAAGGGGAGCAGCAAAGGGAAAGAGGGAAATGAGAAAGAAAGGGGCTTGCAAATGGGTCTGACAAATGGGTCGAGGAGGCCAGAGAGGGTTGTGAGGGAACAAGGGGAAGGAAAAAAGCCAGGACTGAGAGCAGGGCAGGGAGATACCCAGCAAGAACAACAGAGCAAAGAAAATTTCCCAAGCCATTGGGTGGAGGGAAAGTTTAATGAAAGAGGGGAGCATGGAAAAATGAAAAGTTTTCTTCCCTCTTTGGTTTGAACAAATTATTTGGGTTCAAGATGATCTCTTTCGGGAATCAATGAAAAACCCTGAAAACACATACATATTCTTTGTTAACCTCAAACTCCCATCCCTTGGGGGAGTTTGCTTCCAAATGCTATGCCATTTGCACAGCTACATGGGGAATTTTCAACATCTCTACAAGAATGAGTTATTTCTTCTGTTTGTTTATTCTCTCCTGATCAGATAATATATTTTCCTGTTATCTTTCACCATTTGTAATCTTAAATTTAAATGTTCCTTTGATTGCTTTGAGGGTATTGAAGATCTGTCAGGTGTGTGTGTGTGTCTGTCTCTCCCTGTGTGTGTTTCTCTTTTGTTTTTGCTTGTTTGTTTGGGTTCTTTTATTTCTTTTCAGTCACTTATGATAGTCTATTTGTTCCTCAGTGCAAATCATTGAAAAATTGCAGTCAGAATTCTGCCCCCTTTTCTATTACCTTTTACTTCTGCATCTTATCGGTCACTAAGAATCATACTAATAATTTCATCAGCTTTAAAAAATGCTGCAGTGGGACCGATAGAGGCGGCAGTGATTCTAAGGTATTAAAATGCTCCATTCCTATTTTGTGGTTCCCGGGGGTGGCAGAGGAAAATTTTAAGTCCCCTGAAACAGCTGTGGCTGATGACATCATCACAGTTGCATCGTGTAAAGTTGTGTGCCACAAGATTCTGGCCAAAGTTTGATTCTATTTTTATTTCCTATTTTTGTATTCCAGTCACCTGTGATATCAATAGATCCTGGTTTGACGTGTGATCAGTGGGCATGGGCTATTTGTGTTTATTTGTGTTTTATTTTGGTTTTTCACTCCAAATCCCAGAATTCTCCATTCTGGAGTTCTACCTGCAAGACCCACACCTAAATTGTTCCCACCTAGAGAAGGGCTTGGACTGCAAGGCTTTATGGCTTAGCTGCTTGTCCTGTCCTAGGTTGTGAAGCCTTTCAGCCCAGCATTTCTTGAGATGAGCACAGTTTGGGTGTGGGGCTCATCAGTCGAAACCCTGCAGTGGAGAATTCTGGAATTTGGAGTCCAAAAGAAAAAAGAACGGACCATGCCTAGTGGTCAGTTTCCTTCTGGATACTAGAATAAAACTGTTAGTGGCTGAAAGCCAGCAGTAAGTCACAATAAGTGTAGACCCACTGACTCAATGGAACTTGGAGAGAAGATGACTCACCAAATTCCCACTGATTCAATGGGCCTTCTCTAGTTGCAACTTACTACTGTATTAGCTTTCAGCTAGTGCCATTTTCTCCATATATAATTAGAGCATTGACTTGAATGATGGTTATCTTGATAGATTTTCTGTGAAGTCTGATGTTTATTAAGTCAGACTTTTCATTACAGCTCCTTGTTCCTTTCGCTATGTCTTGCCTTATCATTAGAGATACACTGTTTATTCTGAGTTTGTTGTTTCTGCCATAAAACATTTTGTAATTATCTGATTGAAAGTGCCTTATTTTAGTTCGTTTTAGTTTGTCTTCTTGTTTTGAGCTTACCTTCACTAATACTTCTCGTATTTCATGTTCCAGTTACAGTATATTCATCACACAGCATTCCTTTTATCTCAGCAGCTAGATATCCTTTCAGTTTTAATCTAATTGCTTCATTAGCAGCAGCATTAATTGTACCTTTCCTGAAATGTTCTGTGTATTTTGCACGTCCATACTTTGCAGGTACATTCACTATATGTATGAATATGACAGCCCTTTTAAGAAGAAAGGTGGGTTAAAAATATTTTAAATAAAGACAGCATCAGTGGAAGACACAATAAAAGAGAGCATGGAATTTAACTCTGGAAAAATCAAGCAATCTCAGATTCCTTGAAATGGGAAATCAATGGAGATGTTGTGGGATGAGGGAGATGGAAGCACTAGAAATGCTCATGCAGCTGAGAATCCTCCATTCTTACACATTTATTTATGTTCCTTTCTTCCCTTTAGGTGTGGATCTGACAGGTGTAGAGTCCAGCAGTTCTGGCAGCAGAATAGAAAGAGTGGACCTTTATGCAAATGTCGATGAAGCACTCCTAGGAGGTGAAGATGGTTATCTCTCTCAGCCTCTTACGCCAGAGAAAGAGGATGCACTACAGGCTGTGGCAGTTGCTAATTTACGAGCAGCTCTTATGAGCAAGAATAGTTTGCTGTCCCTGAAAGCTGACATGCTGGGAGAGGAGAGTTCTCTGCTGTTCGAATACTTGCCCAAAGGCACACATTCATTGTCTTGTAAGTTGCTATTCTGTGTATTCTGCATAAAACTTAATACCATTCACAGACAGGTTTTTCAGTAACATGCAAGTAACTGTAGGTGTCTGTTCCTGTATGATTCACAGCAAACTGATGTACAGTAAACTTTAATTCTTTTGAGTACAATACTTGTAGACTGTGTGGCTTGGATCCTTGTGTGCAGTTCTCAAAAAGAAGCGAGAGGATAAATCTGTGTCATGATTCTGCCATTTCATATTGCAAAACCCACTACTCCACTATACAGAAAAATGTGTAGCACCTCAAAGCATCTTAGCCTACCTTTTCTTCCAATCATACTAGTTTTCTGTGTGCAAGAGTACTTTTTCTCATGAAGTGCCTTGGTGGGGGGGAGAGTCACTGAATCATGCAAATCCCTGATCCGTAATATAAAACTGCAAGCAACACAAGCTTATAGTTTTGTGATAACTGGGCTTCAAGTTAGATACTGTAATGGTATTCATAGTGCTTGCATCCTGGCTGAAACAGCTACATGAGGCATGGTGTTGAATTGTCTTGTTTGTATTGGATTTTAGCATGTAAATAATCTCTCAGCATTCGGATATGAAGAAAGGAATTATGTGCAGGCTAAAACTGCTATACCTTTTGAATATATAGCTAGGTCAGTTATTGTCATGGACAAGTGTTAATGTGTATTCACAAAAGATGTTTAAGGTGCTTGTTTCAAAATGTTAATGATTACTAGTTATTTAATATTTCTCGTGTGAAACCACTGTTTTATAATATGGATCCATAATCCAAAACAGAAGTCTTAAAAAAAAGTAAGGCAACAAGAACGATTAGAGGACTGGAAATCAAGCCCTGCAAGGAATGACTGAATGAACTGGGTATGTTTAGCCTTGGGAAAATGAGAGGTGGGGCTGTTTGATAGCACCCTTCAAATACAGTGGGGTCTCTACTTAAGAACTTAATCTGTAGTTCTCAGTCATTCCAGAGTGCAGGACATGCAACAAAGGGCTCAAGTTGCAGGAAGAGAGATATCCACTGCATATCAGGAAAAACATTCTGTTAGAGCAGTATAACAATGGAATCAATTACGTTGGGAGGTGGCGAGCGCTCCAACACTTGGAGGCATTCAAGAGAACGTTGTCTGTCAGATACACTTTGATTTAGATTCCAGACTTGAACTGGGGATTGGACTTGATGGCCTTATAGGCCTCTTCTAACTCAATTATTCTCTGATTCTATAATAACAGTTGGTAGTTTGCCAGTGATAAGCTAATTACTGTTAGCTCAAATTCAGGTTTGTTTTCTAAGTGGATAAGAAACTTTATTGTTGTTGTCATGCGGTGTCCAGTGGTTTCTGACTTAGGGCAATCTAAGTAAGGTTTTTGAAATATGTGAAGTGTTCAAACAGTGGCTCACCATTGCTATCCCCCAGTGAATTTCTATACCTTTTGAATATTTTGAACTGAGGTCTCCTGAGTCATACACCATGTTCACTACACACTGCTGGCTCTCAGAAGAAACCTAACAGGAATGCTGTCTTTATCCCATAGGAACCATGAACAAATAGAAAGGCATTATGAAACACTGGAGAATAAAATGACTATGTGTTCTGTATTCCTTAAATAACAGAGGTCTGCTTCCATGGGACATTATTACTCCAAAGTATTAAGTAAAACACCTCTTGGTTCCTTCCCTTAGTTTCCCTAAGAGAAGACAATGACAGTATGTATATTCAGGAAAAAAATATTTTTGTGACCAGAAATTAATATATTTTAGTTGTTTGCATATTGTTTTAAAACTCTTGTCTAATTGTTTCTGAATTTATAAGAAGGGATTGAAATAGAAGGCCAATGATGATTTTAAAAAAAATTCTCCCAGAATTTCACTTCAGCTGTATCACCTCTGCTCCTTCTGTTACTAGGTTCAGGGGGAGAGATGCAAAATAACAGCTTTCAAAAATACCAAGAACCTGCACTTAGTGCAGTTTCCACTTGCAACGAAGAGGATGCCTTGTTAGAAATGGAATAACACTGAGTCTACACATGTATACTTCCTCGTGCAGAGACACCTTGAATACACAAAGCAATCTTGTATTATTAAGACCTCCGCAAGGTCCCTACATTTTAAATGATGGCTTCCCTTTTCATAGGATGTGGGATTGGATGTGGGCGCTTTTGTTAGTGATACTAGAGAAGGCAAATGCAGAACCTAGTGCTTCCGGGTAGGATAATAATATGTGGGTGTCAGATTGTTGTAGTGACACAAGTAAGCCAAGAAGCCATTTGACAAATAAGTTTCTTTTATTGCAGAAGAAAAGAGATTGTACAGTATCATCTTTCCTAATTCATAGTCTGTAACTGCTAATACCTAGATAAATATTTGGATTTTGGCCATTCTCCTGCAACTACCCAGTGGGTTATTTATTTTTAGCGATCAGCTAGAAATCTTAGGTAATTGGAGGTTTTTCTTTATTGGCTTTAGCTATTTCTCTTCTTTCGTCTACTCTAGGGAGTTCAAACTGACCTCTTGTATTATTTGTTAAATGCATTTAATTTTATACTATAAACATTCTTTTTTATTTTTTTAACTGATAGAGAGAATGCTTTTAGTATTCTTTACAACCAGCAACCACGACATTTGTTGGTATCATTACAAGACTATAGGAACTGTCTCAGCATTCTTTGGCCAAATACCACCGTCAAAAAACAAATAACTATGATGATTAAGTTGGTGCAAGATCTAATAATTATTTCACAGACTAGACTCAATTTAGTCAGTTTTCATTACGTTAAAGTGAAATACCTGTTGTTGTTTTTTGCGAAAAGCTCAGGTTCCTATCCGAGAAACAAAATTGGTTCTTCTTTTAGAAAACGTCCCTTAACTCAGAGGGTTTTGAGAATACACCCCTTAACTCAATTAAATAAATGTGTAAGAAGATAATGGTCACTTTCAATTTGCTTTAGAATGAACATTTAATATTAACTGTATATTCTTTATTCTTTAACAGAAGCGTAGTATTTTCAGTTTTTTTTTAAACACTAATTTTATTGTATTCGTGAAGGCTTTCACGGCCAGGATCTATTGGTTGTTGTGGGTTTTTCGGGCTCATTGGCCATGTTCTGAAGCTTGTTCTTCCTAACGTTTCACCAGTCTCTGTGGCCGGCATCTTCAGAGGACAGCACTCTATGCTCTGGTGCAGTTTGTCGAGGAGAATAATTTTATTCTTCTCTTGCTCAAGTGTAGACAGTAGAGAGGAAGTTTAGAGTCAGTTTCCTGAAGCTATCTATCTCTATCTTCTCCTTCACAGGAGTGTTCTGGTGTGTAGCTGGTTGCAAGACCACCTCTCTTTGGTAGCACTTTTTGTTATGGCAATAGGGAACCTTCATTTTGTACCCGATAGTGCTACCATTTTGGTTTTTTTAAATTGGTGACAAATGAAGACATTGTTCTTTCTCCAGGCTTTGTAGTATGGTATCTTTTTATTTAATTGTTATTTTATTACGTATTTATTTTAGGTTAGCCACAGAATAAATTCTGGTATTTGGAAGACAGGGTATAAATGTAATAACAAAAGTTTGTAAATTCCTTCTTTACCTCTTCTTGGAAGAAGTTCCATAGTTAAAGAGCTATTTTGGAAACAAGCTCATATTAAAGAAAAGACATGTGTTAAGGAAATGACCACAAGAGATATTTTAGAAGATAAGAATTCATTGTCGTGTTATTTTATTGTTTGTTGTATTTATTTATCAATAGACCTCAGGGACTGACTTTTTTAAAAAATTATTTATTAAGAGGAATATAGTGATCGGCCCAAATAATTAGTACCATAGTATGATTTCTTTTAAAAAATGTTTGTGTGTTTATATTATATTATATTATATTATATTATATTATATTATATTATATTATATTATATTATATTATATTATATTATATTATATTATATAAAATATACAAAGCATGTAAGATCTTATCTTTACACAGGGCTGAAAGTGAGATATTATATCAGAATGTAAATCAAATTGTACTTGCTATACCTTATACAAGATCAAACATTCAGAAACACATATTTGGAAATTTGATCTAAAATATATAAAGTCTGTTATAAAGTCAATGAATAGAGTAAAGTGATTTAGGCTTGGTTTATGACTCACTTCATGCTTCCCATGTAGTATTGTTATCCATGTTACTTGAATTAATCCTTAAATTTCCCCCATTATAAATGAATGCTTTCTGCTGTGTCTTAATTTTAGCACTTCATAATTTCCATTTCATCTCAAAGTTAGCAGCACCTTACACAATTAATTATTTATAAATGGAGTGATAGTTGCTACTAAAACAAATGAAATGTTCAAAAGCTTGAGCTTTCAGAAGCTGATGGAATATGTTTGTTTCATCATTTTTCACAAGCGATCTCAGATGTTTCCAGCTGTACATGGATTTTACTGCTTCATCAACAGATGTTCTTGGACTACAGCTCCCAGAAATCCTGGCCAGTGCAGCTAGTGTAGAAGACTTGTGGGAGTTTTTGTCCAAGAACATCCCAACGTTGGGAACCATAGGGTTAGATGAATATTCAGAAAAGTGTACAGTATAACCTGCTTTGGGTTTTTAGGTCTTGGGCTTCATCCTCAAGATTTTGGAATTCACTCAGTGGCTTTGGACTTGAAATCTCAGGGAAGGAGATGATGCCAACCTGGCAATTCTGTTTCCACAGCTTCAGAGCATGACCTTTAGATATGCTCAGAAGTACCCTTATCCTTTTCATTATCCTGAGTGTTCTAAGAGTGCTCCTTGTATGGTGGAATGGATACCTTGATCATGAAGGAGATTTTTCCAAATGAAAGGTTCATCCATTGCATTCTGGGCATGCTCTACACTTTCAATCCTGTTTGCGCACCATATGTCTGCCACATTCATTCCACAATTGCTGTGTATGCTACAAAGCCTTATACATTCGTTGCTTTCATAATCATCATAATTCATTTGGACTGCTGGCTTCCTTCTTTCCCTAAATTACCAACAATGCTTAAGGCAAAAGAGAGATCAAGAGAACTGTGTGACTTTCTGTCTCTCCTTAGGAAAGTAAGCAATACTGCTTTTTCTAGGTGAATGAAGAATCATTAATATGGGTTTTACAGGTCTATTTGAGCCATTTGTTCAGTTCCTCTTTATTTATTGGTTGCCATATTACATATTGCTCATCCTTAGTTACTTAATTTTGATAGGATCTCATGGCCTTATAGATTTATTGAAATTATTATTTTATTAATTCCCTATTGTTGTGGTCTTAACGCTATATAGGAACATTTTCAGTGTGGTTTATGGGACTGGGTTAAATTTAGAGTTGAGGGAGGGATAAGAAGATAACTGGATAAAAGTTTAAATTTTTTCACCAGTTTTTTTAAGACCAGTTATTGTAGAACTGGGTGGTAGAGGGGTGAAAGAAGGCTTCGTTTTCCATCATGGATAAAATGGTTGAGAGTTGAGCCATGCTAGTGGTGACAGGTAGGGGGAAATACGTACTGTGTTGGGTGGAGGACAGGTCACTACAGGAGAGCATTACGCAAAAGCATAATGTTTGCCCCATGCTGCGGTTCTCTTCTCAGCTGGCAGAATCGAAGTAACCTTATCGGCCAACCTTTTGATCTGTGTATGTTGCTGTTAAATGCCAAGTCGGTCCAAAATAAATCTGAACTAATATTAGATCTGATACAGGACGAAAATGCCAACCTGGCATGTAAAGCTGAAATCTAGGTGGGAGAAGAAGGGGGAGTAGTCATTTCCCAGTTATGTCCCCCGCAACATTCAATCCAGAAGGGACACTGCTATAGGCCATAGAAGCTCCATTAATATCAGTAGGATCTCTGTCCTATTGCGCCTGGTTCTGTCCCATAGGGAAAGAATACTACTGGTGTTGGTATACCTCTCTTCCCGTGACTAGACATGGGCACAAACTGTGGTTCAACAGTTCGGCTGCACAGACGTTTCATGGATGCCCTCGTCTTCCTTGCGCCACCACCTCCGGTGGGTGCCCACTCTCTGCTTTTGTGTTGAGGTCCCCTGACTTTTATGTCTGGTAGTTTTCAGCATCCATAAGGAGATGCAGTTGACTGGAGCAAGTCTGGAGTTCATAGAGGCCACGGCTGCCGTGGGGCTGTCCCAAAATTCAGTTGCAGGACACACTCAATGTTTAACTTGGGACAGGGAAAGGATGAAAGTGGTGAATCTTGAGTCTTAACCCCTTATGATGGTCAGATATAGAGATGGGCAAGAAGCTGGGAGGTGAGGAAGGGAAGCCCACACTCCTGCCTGGACTGGGAACCCAGCAACACACAATAATGTGTGAGTGGGCCAGCCAGGGGATTGTCAGGGAAGCATCTGGAAGGTCCTGGAATAAACGCAAGGCTGCCAAAAGAAGCCGTTATATCCAAATAACTGAGGTGCTTTCCAACCAACCAACAGGCAGAACTTTTCTGTTTAGTTTGTGGCCTCATTTCTGCTGGACAGAAATAATTTCTTGATCCAAATGTTGAGAATTGCAACCAACTGACAGCCTAATTTAGATCTAAGGTTGAAAGCATCTATTAGGACCTTGACTTCTTGTTATCTGTAGATCAGATAGAGATGTCTAGTGAGGTTAAATTGGATCAGTTCCAACTAGTACAGACTGAGAATGGGGACAAGGTACTTGTGTGCTGCAAAGCTGCCACCTCCTCTGTAGACCCCTGCCCATCATGGCTCTTAAAATCAGGAAGGGGAATGGACAATTTACCTTAAAGGAAACCATCCTAAGGCTCATTCCAAACAAATCCAGTTTAGCAAGAGATGATCTTAACAACTGTAGGCCTGCTGCCAACATTCCATACCTGAACAGGTTGATTGAGAGGTGGTGGCTGACCACCTGCAGGCATTCTCAGAGGAAAATAGATCTATTTTAATTGGGGTTCAGGCTGTGCCATGGGACCAAAACAGGATTGGTCACCCTGCAAGATGATCTCAGGGAGGCAGACAGTGGAGTGTAACCCTGCTGGTTCTCCTAGATAGCTTTGCAGCCTTTGATACTGTCAACCATGGTATCCTTCTGGGACAACTTATCTCGGTTTTATCACCTTCTCATGAGGACTTGAGAAAGAGCCTTCCCAGTGGCTGCTCCCCGACTTTGGAATGCACAGCCCCAGAAAACCAGGTTGGCCCCCTCCCTTGCAATGACCAGATAGGCGGGGTATAAATAGAATAAAATAAATAAATAAATAGTCCTTCTATTGTCAGACAAATACTTTCCTTTTCAGACAGACTTTGAAGCAGTAAGTGGGGCTCTCAGAAAAACCTATATTTTTAAATTCAGAGATTTAAATTTAAAAAAAATCTTTAAAATTGTTTTTAATCTTGTTTTTAATTTTGGCAAATGTTTAATTGTTTTAATATAGTTCTGGCCAGTCTCTCCTGGTTCCCTGTTGTGTTTTGGATCAGGCTCAAGGTTTTGTCATTCACGGTTTGGGACCACATGACCTGTCAGAGCATCTTTCCCCAAGGCCATTTGCCCAACCCACCAGGTAATCTCAGACCCGGCTCCTCCAGGTAGCCACCCTGAGAGAGGCCCAAAGGTCATCGACCAGAGATAGGGACTTCTCTGTGGTGGCATCATATGGAACCAGCTCCCAAAGATGCTATGCTTGCCCCGCCTGCCTGTATTCTTTTAGGAGACAGTTCAAAACACTTCTTTTCAGGGAGCCTTTTCAGTCTGACTCCGGTTGAGTGTTTTGCTCTGCTTTTCTGTGATAATTTGTTGGTGCCACTCTTGTTGGGGTTTTTTAATGTTCTTGCCACATTACTTTTGTGTGTTTTCTATGTTACTCTTTTATTGTGAAGCTTCATTTTAACCTTTTGTAAACCATGTAACATAGTGTTTTGGCATGAATAGGACGGTATATAAATTAAAGTAATAAACAAATCATGTGTTGTGAGCCACCTCGAGTCCCCTGTGGGGAGTAAGGCAATATAAATAATATAGATAGAATAATAAATATTCCGTGCAACCATTCCACATATATATGTGTGTGATATCCAGGTTTGATAATACTGTTATTTTACACCTCAGTCCTTTTTACACGTGCATGAGACTCATGATGCTGGCTGTAGCATGGGTCTTTAATAAGACCTAAGACCGAGTTCTATTTCCATTACAAATAAGATAACGGCTGTGATTAACAGGCAAGGCAGAATGACTTTGTCTAAGGGGTGTCACATGCTGTTTTCTTTCCCATGCCCCATTAATGACTCATATTGACATATTTTACCACTTTTAGTGGAATTATTTTTGTTTGTAGGTACAGTGTCTTTCTATTCCTATGTGTGAAAAAACTTTCATCAAAACATGCTCCTAGAAGGATGGCCTCAAGCTTCCTATGAAAAAACAATCATTATATCCTTCCCTCCTTAACAGACTTCCATGTGCAAATTAAATATATATATATACTACAGTACTGTATATGTATGGAAGGAGTGGTAGGAAAGCATGGTAAATGTAAGATAGTGGCAGCTGGAGCCTTGTGAAATTCCTGTAATTGAAACTTGGTGATTGCATAATAAAAGCCTTGTCCGAAAGCATCCAGACCTCGGTGTGTGATTGTGAGACACCTGAAAAAATGTTACGGTTTTGATTCTGTTTTGCTTCAAAAAGTTTTCAGAGAGTTTCTGGAAAATGGACACACACATTTTGCTGACTGCTGAAGAGAAAGGGTGATGGATTGATTCTCTACGAATATCAAAGCACTATATATTTTGAAACTCATTTTTGTGCTGCCTCGTATTCTTCCTGTGTTTGGCTTTCTTCCGTGATTGTTTTGCCATTATGTGATAGAATTCCTGCTATGTTTTTTTTTTATTTTTGGGGGAAGGGAGCCTGTTTAAAACCATCCATAGGCCTGGGATGTCTGTACTGCTTCCTTCCCTTCCACTGACAGAAGATTAAGCTGCCACTGTTCCTTCCCTTCCCTTTTGTAACATCACCGGCTGGTGCTAGTTCATGTGGGTGAGACTCGTTTCCTGTGTTCCTCAGGCCAAGGCACCAATCCGAATCGTTTATGGGGTGAATGTGATGGCAAAATGGAAGTCCCGCCTCCTCTGCTGGCTTCATCACCCCTTGCCACTCAGAGCCCCTCCGCCATCCTCACCTCTTCTGGTGATTTGTCACCAGAGACTTTGAAAAGAGTGATGCTTTCTGCTCAGGTAAGGCAATAGTTGACTGAAATGATGCCTTGCATGCTAGTTGTGAGACATTTTGAGAATCATAACACTTTAACTTTGACCTACGCCCTAGTGGTATTTCAATTTGCAATTTCACTATTATTCATGTAAACATCAGATCTATGTTCACCTGTGTTATCCGTAATCCTGTAATTTCCTCCCTCCATGCCTAAATCAAAGGACATAAAATAATGCAGGCAATGGCTGAAGTCTTGTAGCTTCGTATAGTAGGTTGCCCACTAAATCAGTGGGATTGGGTGAGTCGACTCCTCTGTAAATCCCATAGATTCAAATAGGCCTACTCTATTTGTGAGTCTGCAAGAAGATGAGATAGAGTTTGCATTTTGGACCACTTGTGGCACAGTTCAGTGTGAGCTATTTTCCAGCGATCTGATGACATATATACAAGAAATCACGAAGATTCTGCACCATATCCAATCCAGACCTTTTTTGGTCCAGCAGGAGGGCTACAGGTTTTTGGAACTGGGCAGGAGCAGTTCATGTGTGCATTGGAAGGCTGCCTTTAAGGAACAATCACTCCCATTGGAGTGATCCTTTACAGCAAGATCAAATGTAATCCTGTATTACTATCCTATTTTATCCTTACTACACTAAAGTAAGTTGCAACTAGAGTAAGCTCATTTGATTGAATGGGACTTATGGAGAAGTTGACTCACAAAATCCTCACTGATCCACTGGTCCTACTCTGGTGTGATTTATTGTGCTAAGCAACAAGATTTCAGGCAATGATTTGTGCCCTCCGTCTTGAAGAGGAATGAATCTACACAAGTGTGAGTGTTGCTGTAGACCAGTGGTTCACAGAGATTCTTGGACTAAAACTCCCAGAAGCCTTCACCACTAGCTATGTTAGCCAGGACTTCTGGGAGTTGTAGTCCAAGAATATCTGGGCACCTATGGTTGGGAACCACTGCTATAAACGTTCAACTACACTGTAGCCCTATACTCAACTTTAATGGCAGTAAACCCTACTGGGTGAGAATATACTTCACAGTAATTATGTATAGGGCACTGTTATTTACTATGATATCTTCAGTTTCTCTCCAGCCCTAACAGTGAACTGTTCTAATAAGAATAAAGGCATATGTTGTTGAATGTTAGGTGAAAAAAATCCTTCCTATTCTTTGGAGCTAGAAACTAGAATGAAACATGTTTAGAAGATAACCTGATACAGAACCAAGAAATTCTTAAGCACCAGTATCCAGTGTTTAAAACCTGGGCAATTTGCTGGATGAGTGAATTAGTATGATTGATTATTATAATTATAAACATTATAAAGACTCCAGCTTTTACTTTATTTTTCTGAATGTGGAAAAGAAGAGCAGAAATAATTTTTTTAATAAAATGTGGGTGACTTGGTGGAATCATTATAATTTTCATTTAAAAAAAGATTTTAAAAAGAAGGTTGTAAGGGCAAATAGCCATTAATGTCAGACACCTTAATGAAAATATTGAATAATAATTACATCACCGTTACACCCCCCCATGCTGAAAATCTGAAGAGACATGGCCATCTGTTGTGCCCCACTGAGAAGAGCCATCTGGCAAGCAAGAAACAGAACACACATAACTTGAAACTATATGATATATTTTTTTAAAAGTAGAATATATAATAGTTAATTGGGTCTAAGGGAAATTGAGCAAAATAATTTTGCACAGTCTTCTTTGGAAACAAGAATTAACAGTTAGGAAATGAGTGTAAAACTAAAAAGTATGTGTATGATCCCTTAAATGTAAGGATCTCTTGTATTTTATTACACAAGACTGTAAGAAAATTGAGGGGACATCCCTGTATTCCACAGAAGAAACAAGAGTCTCTTACTTGAAAAATGAAAGTATGAGTGACTGGCACTTTCCCTTTCTACCCTTCTGATGCTTGCAGAAAAAAAGGAAGGGCAAGCGTTAACATGGTATAGTTGTTATAATATTGAACTAGGGCCAAGGAGGCCCAAATTCAAATCCACAGTCAGCCATGAAGCTGACTGAGTGATGTTGGCAAGTCATTCTCTCTCAACCTCATATACTTCACATAGTCTTAATAAACATAAATCTGAGATGGGAGAAATAACCATGATATAAGCTTGAACGTCTTAGAGGAAAGGCTAGATAAAATTATACTGAGCAAAACTAAAAAATTCTTGTAGGCAGCATTGTTTAAAGTGTTCTATATTGTTGCCCCCCCTTTTTTGTACTTTCCTGTCTATCTGAAATATCAGGGCTGCATTGGAATTTTTTTCTGCTCTGGAAGCACTTTGTGAAATTGTGGTGGAAACTCATTTTATCATTTGTGTCATGTCTACCCACTGGTTTCATAGCTTATCCTATACAGTATTTCTGACTTTAAAAAAGTATAATGTTTATACCTCTAATTTCTATACCGAAGCATCTGGAGAAAAACTTTTTGAGAATGCTGAAGTTTAGTAAAGCTACAAATATTTAGTAATATGGAAACAGAGGTCTTTTTCTTAAGAGTTTGAATATGGCTATATGTTTTAGAGCTTGGAACTGGTAAAACTGATCACTGTCTTACACTTCTGAGACTGTATTTCAGCCAGATTCAGTGCCATGTGGGTTTTAAAACAGAGATTTTGATGTTATGAGTTTTGAGGTTCTAATGTAAAAATAATTCTCCACGTGTTCATGAATTAAACTGCACTTTTCCTGTGCAGGTCACCTGTGATGGATTGCTAGCACTGTGGCAGGCAGAAAGCTCTGACCCAGGTAAATAGCACTCATAAAACGTGAGCATTGATAATTCCAGGTATTAAAAAAATAAAAGTTAATTTTGTGCACATTCCTGTTCTAGATGTGAACACTTCACTGTCTGAAGACATGGATTTAGGCCCTGAAAGTTTGCTCTTCGATTCTCCTGTACCCAAGAACTTGAGCTGTGCATTCTGCAGGAAAATGTTTGAATGTGTGGAGAAGCTGAAAGAACACATGCAGGAACATACTTTCCCCATGATTGTTCCATTTGATGTCACTGACTATTCTAGGCCAGTGCTAGCTGCACTTTCTGGGCACACGTCTCCTGGTCGGTTTGCCCGTTTCCAGTGTCGAAAGTGTCCTGCAAGCTTCACCCTAAAATCAAACATGGATCGGCACGAGAAAACAATCCACTTCAACCGGAAGAAGATACAGTGCCCACACTGCCTGAAGCTGTTTCGAGACAAGACAGATTTAAAAAGGCATCTTATGTCGGTGCACTCCGGTGAACGTTTGTTTGTGTGTCTTTTCTGTGGCAAAGGCTTTGGCACCCAGAAAAACCTCACCACTCATACAAAAGTTTGCTGTCTGGGTTCTGCACAAACAATATCTGAAGAACTTCTCAGCAGTATTGATCAAAATCAGGAATCAGAGGATGAATAAGAAAAGTGTTGTGTAGGAGAGAAACTGGAATAGGATTCTTAGACTTGTATTTCTTGGCAACTAGAATGAGCTGCATATTCTGCTGTATCAACACTCCGGGCAGCACAACAGGGATACTAATCAGTGTAATTAAATGCCCTATGTGTTGAAAGGGAGTTGGTGCTTTTCATCTGGAGGATCTGTGGCCAGGATTCATAGAGTTCATAAGCATTCATAGTGTGCGCAAGACGGGCGTCACATTTTCAAGAACAAAGAGAATTTTATTGTTCAGGAATTATTTTCTCTGGACAAAATTTGTTAAAACTATTTTTCTACTGTGTTCTTAAAATAGTTTTTACAGGTGGTAATGTTCATTTAAAATTATGCATAACGAGCATTCAGTCATCATAGTATAGCCCTACATGAGCAGTAATGTGAAAGACCAGAAAGTTCACCATTCATTTTACCTGCACCTGAGGGTAACTTATGGTACATTTGCTGAAATAGGATCTTGCCACTTTTGCGCACCTGGGAGAAAATGAACATGCAAGTGGGAAGATGTGGCCATAGGTGATGAGCTTCCGTGTGTTCATGCTTGGTTGTGCTCCTCTATGGACAGTATCACATGTACAGGCCTCACTGTATTATGTGTAGTTAATACAGAACTCGGGTGAAGGCTAGGTAGACGGGAAAACCTAAATCATGTTTATTGAGATGCTTCCTAATGGAGGGACTGTAGTGTTGCTGGTCAAGACATTCTGTAACTATTCTGACTTTATTTTTAAATACATTGTTATGTTGTAAAACAACAACAACAGACAACAGGAAAGTAGTAGTGGGAAAACATGGGAAGGTACAAGTGTAGGATGACAGTGCCCAACGCCCAAGAATGAGCTAGGATGATTGCACAGTAAAATCTTTGTAGCTCCTTAACCGTCTTAGGTTATGTCTGTGCGCAACAAATGTAATACTTAGGTATTACCCTATGTGGCTTTCCTAGGATTAAACAGCTAGTAGCCCCATCAGGCTCAAAGAAAGAAACAGAGCCAGTGGGTACTAGAACCCAACACACAAGTGTATAAATGACATATAGAAGTAGAACAGTGGTAAAACTGTTTAAAGGGAGACCTCTTTGCTTTCAGACATGAGCCATAGAACAGTATTGAGAATTTTATTTGTTGCAGGTCATTTGGTCTTATGAAATGCTAGGTGTAGGACCAAGAATACAATATAACCTGAATGTAGTAGATTACGATGTTACATGTCTGTAGGCTACGCCCCACCTCTTTCCTAAGACACTTTGGTGACTGGTAATATTTTTTTTTCACAGTAGTTTTGAGGAGCTGAATTGATGGGAATGGCAGTCATTGCTAGAGCTTATATATGGTAGTTGAGCTCCATATACCAGCAATATTCCAGAAGAGCTACTTGACAGGGATGGACATTATCCACTTTTTATCAAAATGGCAGGCTCCTTGATCATTTAAACACTGGCATGAGAAACATATTTTAAATATTGTAGATAAATTCTGCGGTACAAAGTAGATAAAACCTGTGACAAGTTGTGGAAAGGATGCCTTCTGCTGTGAGTCATATTTTGATTTTATTTTCTGTGGCTCCTGATAAAACAGATTTCAAGGACTGGTAGCATTTTTGCACAGACGCCTGAGCTTTTTTTCCAGCCATTTATGAATCATAGCACAAAACAGATTTTAGTATTGTTTGTTAAAAACGACCTGCAGCATTTATGGGGTGCTGCAGACCAGGGTGTTGGGTTAGCCCATTGTGTCATGTGCTTATAAGGCCAAACACATGTATAAAAGACACTCTGGACCGTGGCAAGCTTTTGTTTTAAATCCATGGGGTTTCTAGACTCTAGATTCAGTGGAAATCTATTTGTGAATTTAGATGGTATCTGCTTTTCCATTTTGTTTGGTGTTGGTACCACAAACGTTTGCTAATATGTTGCATTTCGGGGGTGTGGGGATGGACTTGTGCCTACTTGTAGTTTAACATTTTGTTGCAATTTCTGGCAATGGAGGATGGTTTTAAGGGTGTCTAAATGAAGGTAGACTGTCTATTGCAGGACAGATATTGTATGTGAAAAAAGCAGGGGGGGGGAGAATCCCTTCTTTCATATGGTATTAATCCATGTGATGAGTTCTACAAGTTCTTCCTCCCTGAATACCAAAATCAAACCTCCAACTTCATGAAGTTCAAAGTTCTCATTCCCTGTCTGGCTTCTGAATTATCTAAATTCATGTAATATACCACGTTTTTCGCCATGCTTGCACAAGTAGTATTTAATTGGCCTTGCTAAAAATTGTTTCAGCTCTACACAGAGCTCTGCAGGTCCCTAAAAAAAAAGATAGTTACTCCAAAGATTTAGGCTGCTAATAGAGCACAAAGAAGACTCTGTGCTTCAATCTGCAAGCTATACAACTTAGTCTCCTGACCTTTCCGGATCAAATTGGAAGCCAACGTGTCATCATTCATTTAGATAAAATAATTGACCAACTATACGGCAACAGACCTCACAGTCTGTAGTTGCTGAATTAAACAGAAAGTCACCTTCAAATTGATTGAAACGAAGCACGCTCAAGGTTTTCCGAAAGTGACTTCTGGCAACTACTAGACACAGAGCATCTCAAATCCGTGCACAGAGGTTCAAGGCGCCATGCCTTGACCCATTTGTCTGTTTCCAAGGTTCATGACTTGCTCTTAGTGTCTGATTTTACTATGACAAGCAAATAGATACAATTCTCTTGTTTTCATTGACTCTCACCATTTCCATGGATTAGAAAAGGAGAGGAATCCTTCTCGTTGCTGTCCTGGGCAATCATCATTTTCATGCCTATGAGGAATAGAAACCTCATCGCTAATATTCTTGGGGAAAAGCTATAGCATTCTGCATCATGTTTTCATAGAAACAGAAGAAACAGTTCAGCAGTCATCACTGTGATCACCGTTTCCTCTCTAACAGGAGAATGGCAATCCGGGAGATGTGGGTCGTGTCTGCTACATGTAAAAAAGACGCCTATAGGGATACAATCGTACTTCTAAAAGAAGACTAGTCTTTATGGCCATATAATTCCTCCTGGCTCACAGGTGGCATACGTCTAAGTAGCCATGGCATCATGGGCCACAGAGCCCTTCTGTTGGTAACTTGCGCAATTGTTAGATGAGATCTTGGAGAGTTGCCCCAAAGTCTGTTATAGAGACTTGTTGTCTGTTCATTAATGGCTGCCTGGATATATTTTGAGGTCCTCTTCTTCTTCAATATACTCTCTCAAGAAGGAGTTTTCACCTTAAGCTTGAGAGGAGGCCATCAACGTTCCATCCTATTCCTACCTGTTGTCTTTCCAAAGAGAGCATCTTCTCCTGCTGCCTTGTTTCTTAGCTGAGTCTTACAGAAAATTTAAGGATCAGGTGACATTTTTGCCTATCTTAGGCCTAGAAGTCTAATTACTTGAGGAGAAATTACAAGACAACATAGAATTTGGTTACCACTTCATGGAAACATTTTATATCTTTTAGATTTCCATTCCAGAGATTGTGTTTTAATTTCTTGCTCTAAATGGGCAGATCCGTTCTGAAGGAAATCAACCCTGAGTGATCACTGGAAGGACAGATCCTGAAGCTGAGACTCCAATATTTTGGCCATCTCATGAGGAGAGAAGACTCCCTGGAAAAGACCCTGATGTTGGGAAAGTGTGAAGGCAGGAGGAGAAGGGGATCACAGAGGGTGAGATGGTTGGAGAGGGTCATCGTAGCGACCAGCATGAATTTGACCCAACTCTGGGAGGTAGTGGAAGACAGGAGGGCCTGGTGTGCTCTGGTCCATGGGGTCACGAAGAGTCAGACAAGACTTAATGACTAAACAGCAACAACAAATGGGCAGAATCCAAAGACAGGTGTGGTTACCAAGTGTCTTTGGACCTTTCTCTTATGCATAGCCAACACGTTCTAAATTCTGTTTAAGCTGTTTTATTTGCAATCAAAATTTTGTTTTAGACACTGTGTAAGTGCACAAGCAAATACATTTTCTCTTCTAATTAGCATAGTTAGCCCGCAGTGTTACAGTCTGGCAAACGCTAAATAATTTACTTTGCTCTTTGACAAACAGCAGGTGAGGAAAGAAGGAAGCACAGCAAGACAGGCAAATATCAGCAGAGAGAATTCTTAACAAACATAAAAATCTCTTCTTCTGAAGGGTGTTTGTTTGTTTGGGAGGAGAAAGCAAATAAGCCTGAGGAACAAGAGATAATGGTTATTCATGAAAGACTCAAAAATATATGCAGTGCTTCATAAGCATATATAAGATGCTGCTGTTTTGGTTCGGCCCTCTGTGCTTGACCATTCAGTTTTGCACATGTCTACTTAGAAGTAAGCCCTATTATGTTCAATTGAGCTTGTTTCCAGGAGAATGAATCTAGAGTTGGAGCCTTTCTGTTCCCCAAAAAAAGAAGAAGTGATAATTGCTGACATTTATCGTAGTGATTCTTCATTTGTATTGCTTGTGGAACTCTCCCCGATGTGGCTTCTGTTCATGGCTTTTTACAGGGATGACGATCAGCATCCAGTGGCCAGAATCCTGTTGTCAAATACAGTGTACGTAAAGGAAATATGGGCAAATATGTTTTTTGCAGCTATTTGCCCCTTTGTCACTTGTCTGGGTGCACCACTGATGCACCGGGTGCATCACATGACGTGGGTAGTATATCCAAGCAGGTGACAACCTGCCAGAACAACCATGTGTACCGATTACACATTTTGGAATTATGCTGTGCAATCACAATAGGATTATGGCTAGTGTGCAGTGCTAAAATTATTGAATATAAAGGGAAGCGGACAATAAAATAAAAGGAATTTCACAATAAAGAGAAATACTGGGATTTTTTCCCCACCCACTCCAATTCCCTCTGTTGTTCTCTCCAAATTCCGGGGCCATTTTTGTTTCAAAGTCTGTTTAAAGTTTCGTTAGTTGCCGTTCTTTTCCTTTTTTGAAAATTGCACACTGTTTGCACTTTTTTCCTGCTTTCTTGAAGGAAGAATTTGAATATTTCTCTTTGCATCTAAACTTCCTCAAGAGGGACAAAAATGCATCTGTGAACAACAGTTTTAATGTGTGGCATATAGAACAATGGATCAAACTTGTGTTTGGTATCACTAGTGAAAATTAATTGGTTCGCACTGGCTTTTTTATATATATATATTATTTTAAAAAGCTAAATTCTTCTCCCCAGAACTCCCAAAATGTTAGCCTTCATACAAAAAGTTCAGATTTCACAATGACTTTGCATGCCTGTTCAGCTTTTTACTTTATCACTGTTGCGCTGCGCTTTGAGATGCAGTGATTAAACTGCAGTACTGCGGTCAAGACTCTGCTCATGACCCGGGTTCAGTCCTCATGGGCTCAGATTGCTGGCTCAAGGTTGACTTGGCCTTCCATCCTTCCAGGGTTGGTAAACTGAGTACCCAGTTCGCTAGGAGGGCAATGTGAGAGTCTGTGTAATTTAATTATAAACCGCCCAGAGAATGATTTAAGCACTATGGAGCTGTATATAAACTGCACACTTTTTATGCTAATCATCATCTGGATGGCAGCTACTGGTGCTGATTTGTATATGCATAGAACATTATACTTTAGAACTGTAAAGCAGGTCTCTAATGAAAATATTATTTCCCATCTTATTTACCGTACCTTTTCTAGACTAGTTGAAATCATCTAGCGCCAGCATGAACACCATTCATTTCTGTGCAGCTGATTTTTCAGTTTACTTAGATATACCGCTGTGTACTTCCCTGTATTTTTTTATACTATTGACCAGTTCAATTGTGGCATATATATATGTGTGTGTTATTTCTAGACAAGTTTAGTTAGTTTTTAAAAGCTACGGATCATTTGGGAAGATTTTATTGCCTTTAAACTGGTGATGAAAGAGCCTCAAGAGTTAGCACTTGTCTGCAGCTTCAAAGTCTAGGTGACAGACTTAGGATGCAGTATGGTTATGTTTGCATTAGGGCTTAAAAATTAATAGATTGTAAGTGGCTAATTAAAAAAACAAAATAAAACAAAAAATAGCCAAATAAATCCAAAAGGGGAACAATGCCTTGTTTTCAAAAGGACCAATAAAAACACAATGCAATGAAATGGCATTTAATTTTCAAGAAGCTCTTTTTCTCAGTCTTAGAGGGTTTTTTTGGTTTTTAATAGCATGGGACATCTCCTAGTATAAATGACTGCATATTTGCACTACAGCACATTAGGGTCTAACCCCTAAAAGCAGCAAATTTTTCTTCCACTGCTACCTTTTCAAGCCTAAAGAAATAGACTGTGAAACTCTGATGGATAGATCACTGTTTTAAGTCGTTTCTATGGCAGATGTTTAGATGCTATTTGCATTGTGCCATTTGAATTAACACTATTGTGATGTGTTTGCATATAAATACAATGTATTTATCCATAATGAGCCATCTGAAGTTATTATGACCCCAAGACACTAGCCTTCCTCCCTCCACTTCAAAACTACCAGCTTAGAAATTAGAGCAATGGTTAGTCTTTATGGTCTTGTAACCCAGAACATTCATCACATGGCAATAATTAATAGACTCAGTGGTTTGGTAGATTCACAGATGAAGTTGGGTGAACTTTTAAAATCTAATATATGATGAGACTTTAACAAAACCTGCAAGGATGACTGTCTTGCCAAAGATTGGCTGAGATAGAGGGGATAAGAAAAACTCCAGCATGCGCCCCAGAATCTGTTTTTCACTTTAGGTGCTGGGCTGGTTTTGAAATAATAAATCCAGTGACTTTCATAAAGGTTTCCTCAATCAGTGAAGTAGGGTGTGCATTGAGGCTAACAATATAGGGAGCATTCCTTTTTCATAGCAAGCTTCACGTAAGGTCATGCTGGAGACTAGATGCAATTGGATGGCTGCCAGGCCAAGCACTGATTGCTCCAGAATGGGATCAATCTCCCTTAAAGCAGGTATTCCATTGGCTATGGAATCACTCCAACTTGGCCCCCCTGCTGCTGAACCAACAAGGGTCCAGATTGGGCAAGGATTGGGGTCAGGATGAAGTACATTTCCCCATGTGTCATGTGACTGTCGGAAAATAGATTGCACCGGACTGCTCCATAAGCAGCCCATTGCTATCTGTCTTCCCATGTAATTAAACCCTTTGCTTCTATTCCTTAAGTAATAATATTTAGCTTGCATATGCATAAAGCTTCACCCGTTGCAATTACTGTTTAAACAATATTTAACTCAGCAAATGCCCTGATAGTAGAAATCTTATTTAACACATGAAGGATTGTGCTCTCAGGCCTTGACAATAACAGAGGCTATTTTCACTATCCTGGGAACGATGGCCATATTGTGAGTGGAGTAACATTTAATAAGTCTTTTATAAAGTTGTAAAAATGGTTCAGTCTGAATAAATTTGCTACCAAAGAGATATCTTTAAATATACTGAAGCAACAAAATTTACCTCAAAGTGATACTTGAACAAGAAATAATATTTTGACCACTAGAATGCTTTTAAAATATAAAAACAAATGTTTTGTATAAATGTTTTTAACATGTGAATGATTGAAAAGACTAATAGCACTGCAAATGAGTGTTCGTTATTTGGGTGCTATTCTTTGCTAGGTTTTGCTTTTCTGTACAGTGCTTGTTAAAATGTATTACATTAGCGGACAATTTGCATTCATTGCTATTGTGGAGGACAAAGTGTGGGCAAAAGAAGACTTAATAGTCTTGCATATCTCTCAGCCACGGGGTGAGCTGGGTTTCCTCTAGAATCTAGATTTTAGAATCTATCATTTTAGACTCTAGATTTTGGAAACTAGCATAACAGATATGTACTGTATTTTTCCATGTATAAGATGATTCTTCTGTCTAAAGTCTTTAGACTAAAAATTGAGTGTCGTCTTATACACGGAAGTAAGTGGAGGAGATAACAAAAACAAGTGGAGCGGGGAAGGGATCAAAGCGATCGTGCAGCAGCGGGGACTGCTTTGAT